ATTAGCATAAAAGGCCACACCCAACAGCAGAAACTCATTAGGATTGGCTACATTAGGGGGTGTGGCCTAACATGCAAAGAAGTTCCTGCTACAAAAAAAGCTCTGGGTTTTGACAACAAACAAGGTAAACAGAATAACAAGCAAAAGGTGGGTGTCGCTGGATAACCACACTTCTGGTAACATGGGGGTGTGGCCTCATGTGCTAATGAGCTGTGCTGTCAGGGGTGTGGCCCAATATGCTAATGAGTTCCTGTTGTTGGGTGTGGCCTATTATGCTAATGAGTTCCTGCTGGGCTTTTTCTACAAAAAGAGCCCTGGAAAGGACACACATCCTATTGGTCTATGTCACCTCCCCCACTTCCTGGGCTGATAATAGCCCCAGAGATGGGTCGGTTTAGGTCAACAAAACTGCATGGGGAGCAAGAACCAGGATCAGGGTGCCAAAGCCACAATTTTATTTTCTAAAATGCTGGAGAGAGCCGATCACAGATTTTCCACGGCCTTGTTGATTCAGCCCACGTCCCTTAGTGAAAAGGGTCATTTATATGTATCTGTCTGGGTTTCTTGCAATTAAAGGGGCTAGAAACTTGCTCTTTGTATACGTAGAAGAAATGTATTTTGTCGTCACCCAGACTCCTAGCTCACAGTTGTTAGTCTGTTGGTGTTGGCAGAGGAAACACAATAAGGTATGCCACTCTTTACCAAGTTTGTAGCCAATCGGATAGAATCAAGGTACAATTTCTCCTTGCTTCACGAGATCCGGAGATCATTGAACTGACCACTAAGTTTCTCCATGGTTTTATAAAACGGAAGAGTGACCCTGATCATATTAATGATTCTTAATTTATAAGTCTAAAAACTTACGTTTAAAAGTTTAGAAGGCCAATTTATTTTATGATTCAGGCATCTTTTGTATGGTCAAATCTAGCTTGTGACAACTTGAGTTAGGCCTGACATAGACACTACTATCTATTTTATAATTTCTTTTGGATTGTATTATTGGTAAATGCTTCTAATATTGTATGCCAATAAAAGGTATTTGAATTGAATTGAATTGAATTACCAAGTTTCTATCTACTGTGTTCCAGACGGCAAGGCATTTTCCTCTCCTAAGAGCAAAACACTGCAGCTTAAACGACTATATTTCATTCCCAGGATTTCTCAACTACTACGATGCCTGCTCAGAAGGATTAAGAGAAATCAGTCCTCAGCTGAGACTGGGAGGCCCCGGAGACTCCTTCCACCCCTACCCCAAGTCCCCTCTGTGCTGGAGACTGCTCAGCCACTGCCACAATGGAACTAATTTCTTCACAGGAGAGACGGGCGTGCGGCTGGACTACATTGCCATGCATAAGAAGGTCTGGCGCTCTGTTTGCTCGCTGTGAAGCGCAGAACACGTAAAACCATTCATAGCCCTATTTCAGTGCTCTGATTTATTGGCTTTCCCGCATTAAAACTTTGCTATGTGGCACAAAGGTTCTGGATTGAGTTCCGAGGAAAGCGGCAGGTGCATCGGTGGATTCAGATGTTTAAAACACTGAACACCATACTTAGTGTCTATGTGGTGCTTTAAAGCAGTGATAACCAATATGGTGCCCAGGGACACCTGGGCTATGGGTTTCCCAGTGCCTATTTGCTTCTCCCCAAAACACCTCTTTCCAAACAAAAGAGCCAAATCCTGGCTTTCCCTCATCTCACTGGAGTGGGGGGGGGGATTTGGAAGGATCCAGGAAGCATCACGTTTGGGTCTGCCGAGGAACCCATTTGGAAATAACTGTCCACATTGTAAAAAAGATGCTTGGCTTGGAACCTTACAACAGTTTGAAATCTCCCCCCATGGCAGCCATTTTGTGATTGGTCCCGCCTCCGATGGCAGCCATTTTTTGATGGTGCCCAGTAACCTTTCTCAGAATTCCACGAGTACCCACGGGGTATTTTTGAAGATACCTGCTTTATAGCATTCAGAGTGACATTCCTTCAGTAAGCTTTACAACAGCCCTGTAAGGCCAATACTATCTGCATATTGCTGAGGGGAGCCTGAGCCTGAGAGACAGTGGCTGGCCTAAGGGGAATATCCACCAGGCACTACAGTCCACGTGGTGGTTGTAACATGCCCATATTTATGAAAATCCTGCTATTCAGCAATACTTACAGACTCTATCTTGTTTTCTTTGGGTGGGACTCCCACAGTTCCCTTGCTGAGTCCAGCTGTACAGCAAAGAAATGGCCTTCAGTTAAACAGGCCCCCCCCCCCCCCCCCATTCACCACTTCTGACACCATGTAATTTTTCTGGGTCCACAGAAAAAAATCCTACCACCCTATAAGGTATATAATCTTCCCCCTTGTTGCAAAGAGGAGTTTGAGGCCAAAAGGACGTCTGTAGTGGAAGCACAATTCCTGAGACATGCAATCACACACACTTCATTTTAAGTTTCAGAGTGGCTGAACAGCTGCTAAACAGAGTTTCCTGGCTGTCCTGTTGTTCCTCCTAGCATCATTGCCATTGTACCTAATCTCTTCCTGCCTCTCAGAATGTGTAATCTCCTTGGGGCAGGGACCTGTCTGAGGTGCTATGTGAAAAACTCCAAATACAGTGTTGTTAGTCCTGCATAAGCAATAAAATTTTGTACCAGTACAAGAAATGAATGCAAATAATCTGGACAAGATCAAGCTCCTTAACGTCTATCTCTCTATATCAAACTTTTTTTAAAAAAAATCTTGGTCTTCTTTTTATCTAAGCCCTTTCAGTACTGCAACAGAGGTATGTGGCAGAAGGGTGTGTGTGTGTGTGTGTGTGTGTGTGTGTGTGTGTGTGTGTGAAAGCAACTTGCCAGTGAGTCTGAACCAAAGAGACAGAGGAGGCTTGAAATCTAATGGATAATAATGTTCGAAACTACAGGGAGCTGGGAGTTCTCTTCACATCTTGGAGCAGGAGATGGAAGCGATGGGACAAATTCAGACGTTCTTTCCCCGTTTCACCTCCCTGCCTGTATACAATGACGAGGCGGATCCCTTGGTCGGATGGTCGGTTCCACAGCCATGGAGGGCAGATGTCACCTACGCAGCTCTGGTGGTGAAGGTAAGATTTGAGCTTTCAGTGCTAAAGGAGGAATAAAGCCCCATTTCTAGAGGATGAAACCTCATAGCAGAAATGGTCTTGGACTTTTTGCTCCATTTTCGAGGCAGTACCCATAGTGTTAAGGACAGAGAGGGCCAAGAGTTCCTTCATCTAGACCGGAGGATGCATTCTCCTGTTCAAAATGGCTTCCTCTGGAGAAATGGGAACTGAAAGCTGGAACGACCATGGCTCAGATGTGAACATAAGAACATAAGAGACGTCAATGTTGGATCAGGCCAAAGGCCCATCCAATTCAACACTCTGTGTCACACACTGGCCAGAAATACCAGGTGCCATCAGGAGGTCCACCAGTGGGGCCAGGACATTAGAAGCCCTCCCACTGTTGACCCCCCCCCAAGCACCAAGAAGACAGAGCATCACTTGCCCCAGAGCCCCTATCTATACCTTGTGGCTAATAGCCACTGATGGACCTCTGCTCCATATGCTTATCTAATTCCCTCTTGAAGCCGGCCATGCTTGTAGCTGCCACCACCTCCTGTGGCAGTGAATTCCATGTGTTAATCACTCTTTGGGTGAAGAAATAAATGAAGCATCTGCTTTGCATCTTGCATCTTTGCATCTTGCATCTGCTTTGCTTCTGCTTTGCATGCCAAAGGCCCCAGGTTCAATCTCTGACATCTCCAGTTAAGAAAAGGATTAGGTAGCAGCTGATGTGATAAACCTAAACCTGAGACCTTGAAGATCCACTGCCAGTTAAAGAAGACAATACCGACCTTGATGGACTCAGTGGAAGGCAGCTTCGTGAGTGTGTTCAAGTGCCTCAGGTGGCGCAGGCAAAAGGGCCATGACTGGCCAATCCAGAGGCTTCATATTGCCTGCCAATGGCAGAGGCCAGTGTTTGGCACACCTATCATCTGCTATGCCCAATAAAGAGTTTAAGACCTGAGCACACATCATTCCAGATAGTTCACTAGGCTCACTCCCTGCTGCCAGTTGTGCGTTTCAGCCCCAAAACCCCCAATATTGAGAAGCCCCTGACATATGCAACTGAAGACACATCAGATCTAACAGTATCCGGGGCAAGTTCGCCCCTCCGTCAACGGTCTTTGCCCTGTTTCCTGATTTACAAGCCTGTTACCTCTTAAACCTGCTTAGCTGTTTCTTTTTTTAATATGGCCCTTTGTTTAAACATATGTAGGATCTATTTACTGTAGCTACTCCGTTGTCATAGCCAGTCCATTCCTCCGCAACAGCCTGTGGGTTTCTGAATCCACCTTGACGCACTTAACTAGTCTGAAATAGCCCTGGGATGATCTCACAAAACACCAAGTAAACAGGGTTCATGCTGGGGAAACTTCTGGCCTGTGAAATCCAAGCTTCGGCAGTTTCTTTTTCTTGCACAGAGTGCTCTCCTCACCCTTCATTGCACTTGATGGGAATTGGCTCATGGAGCAAAGGGTAGGGCCAGTACTCTAAGCTGTGGAGTCTTGTGAGGAAAAATTCTACTTTGCGAGCTACTGGCATTAAAGCTATGAGCGAGCGATTTGGCTGCTGCATAAAGCAGTTTGCTCTGGAGCCCTCCTTCCTGAGCTAAGACAAAAATGTGTGAGCCAGAGCCTAAAGAAATGTGAGCTAGCTCACACTAACTCAGCTGAGGGAACCCGGGCCTTAACCTGTGGCTTCTCTTATACTCAGCTGCAGGATTTAGGACTTGTCCACCCTCAAGTGGAGGAAGGTTGTCATTGCAGCTTTTAATTTTCCCCCCAATTGTACTTTTATTTTGGGCACACGGTTTCTGTATTAGATTTAGATGGGTAGTGGGTGTTGGTCTGAAGCAAAAGAAGAAAGTTTTAGTCCAGTGGTACCTTTAAGACCAACAAAGTATAATTCTGGATAGAAGCGTTCGTGTGCGTGCACACTTCAGATATCCAAAGAATAAATAGATAAATGAAGTTCTTAACCTGAGAGACCTCAGTCTGAGGTGGCAAAAGCCTACGTTGCAGTCGCTTGACAGATGAATCCCACTACTTCTTAATGCAGCGTGCTTCACATTCCTTAAACTGTATTTACTTCAAGGAACCTGGGTTATTTATGAAAAAGGCAAACAAAGTTCAGCAACAAAACTGAAAATGGTCGGGGCCTGTCGGAGATGACTTTAAACAAAAGCCTGTGAGGTGGGCCTGTGGCATTTGAATGTTTAATTCTTCAGTACAAGAATGTTGGCAGTTATCTCCTCAGGGCTGCCCACACTTTATCTCCGGCTGTCCAATGTCGACATCTCTACCAAAGTTTCTGGTTTGCCATGAGTTTCAAGTGAAGATGTTGTAAAGGGTATGACTGACCAGGGCATAAGTCCACCCCCCTCCTCTGTCAGCAAGCAATGTCTGCTTTACTTCCTCAGGACCAATCCATATCATAAAACCTTCATGGTCACCAGCGTTCCCTCTAAGCTGAGTTAGTGTGAGCTAGCTCACAGTTTTTTAGCCTCCGGCTCACAGATTTTTGTCTTCACTCAGGAAGGACAGCTCCAGAGCAGACTAATTTATGCAGCGGCCAAATCTCTTGCTCGCAACTTTAATGCCAAGAGCTCACAAAGTAGAATTTTGGCTCACAAGACTCCACAGCTTAGAGGGAGCGTTGATAGTCACCACAAGAATTTCTGTCAGAGGTGCACCCAGAGTTCCCCAGTGGGAACTGAATTCTCAGGTTTACACAGGCCTGATTTGGATTGTGGCCACACTGTTTTCCTCCTGCACTGTTTTCTTGACCTGAAACAGCATCAGGGAGCTGTTGTATGACCTGTTGGAGGGACGTAATGTGTTCCAATGGTTACACTCAAGCTTCCCCGATAGCAGCTTTCCAGGGGCATTTCAAGTAGGGAAAATGGCACCAGTGGGGAAGGTTTTAAGGTGCCTTCTAACCATAAGCCACTGTCCTAATCTGAATCATGCCCATGCGTACCCAGCAGAGAACTCCCAGTACACATCTGACAGAGATGTGTGGCTACCACAAAGATTTTATAAGGTGTGAAGTGTCCCCTCAGTCACCATCTTGCCTGGCTCTTTTGTGCTGAGCTTTTAAGCCACTGAGTTACACGGAACCTGGCCTAGTCCGGATGTTTCCACAACACATATCTGTATTCCAAGGCGTGAGGGCTCAACTACATGCTACCGTTTCTTCTGTGTTTCGTCTACCACTGAGCCACAGCTTCTCTTAGAAACACAGAAGAAACTGTAGCATGTAAGTTGACTCAGGGGAGAATTTGTGAGTCTGAGGAACAAAGGGGCTGAAATGTCAGACTCCCAGAATATTCTCACACACACCCCTCCTCCACAACTCCATCCTTTCCTTTTCTTCCTGACCTAGGCTCCCATCGCCAATTGACCGGGACAATCCGCCTGACCTGCTCCTGGGCCTTCAACAGTAACTGGAATTACATCAGAGAGATCTTTTCACTAATTAAAACACAGCTGCTGACAGAGCAACTTCTAAAAAAAAATCAGCACAGCCTGTCTTCTCTCCAGTGGCCAATCAGAAGCCCTGCTGTGCAAAAAGCTTCCCCTGGCCCCACCCATTTTTTGAAAAGACTTGGTGGGCACCATGAAAGGGATCAGCAGGTGCTGTGATGCCCATGGGCGTTACATCGGGGTTCCCTGAGTCAGAATGAGTGGCAACTGCATGGGACAGAGATTCATAGGGGATAGGTCTCCTGTTGATAGTAAAGATAGCTGAGAAGGACGTCTGGATTCAGAAGCAAAATGCCTCTGACTGCCAGATGCTGAGGAGGAAGCCAGCAGGCTGAAAGAAGCTGCCATTTGGGCCCTGCTTGAGAGGAGGAGAAGAAGAAGAAGAAGAAGAGGAGGAAGAAGAAGAAGAGGAGGAGGAGGAGATTGGATTTATACCCTGCCCTTCACTTGGAGTCTCAGAGCGGCTTACAAACTCCTTTCCCTTCCCCTCCCCACAACAGACACCCTGTGAGGTGGGTGGGGCTGAGAGAACTCTGACACAAACGGCTCTTTTTCAAGGACAGCTGTGCCAGAGCTTGTGACTGACCCAAGGTCACATCAGCGGGTGCAAGCGGAGGAGTGGGGAATCAAACCCGGTTCTCCCAGATTAGAGTCCGCACACTTAACCACTACACCAAACTGGCTCTCATTGTGGCATCCAGCTGACCACTGTCGGAAACAAGATGCTGGACTAGATGGGCTGTTAGCCTGATCCAGCAGAGCTGCTCTTAATGTTCTTGCATCACACATTTTAGCCACTGCAGAAGACAACCGTAGGGCCTTGTTTAAAGGCAACAGTATAACAGCTAATCCGAGAGAGGGAAATAGTCAGCCTTCCTGGAGAGAGATTGGGTTTGCTGCTGCTTTGAAATTGGGGAGGGAGCGTATCTGAGTGGCTGGAGAGGTAGATCATACCGTATTTAAGAAGGAGAAGAAGGAGTGATTGGATTTATACCTTCACTCGGAGTCTCAGAGTGGCTTACAATCTCCTTCCCTTCCTCTCCCCACAACAGATGCCCTGTGAGGTAGGTGGGGGCTGAGAGAGCTCTGAGAGAACTGCTCTTGAGAGAACAGCTCTGAGAGAACTGTGACTGGCCCAAGGTCATCCAGCTGGCTGCATGTCGAGGGGTGGGGAATCAAACCCGGTTCTCCAGATTAGAGTCCACCGCTCTTAACCACTACACCAAACTGTGTCTCACCAGGAAGGTGACTTTTTAAAAATATTTTCTTCACTTTACAAAAAAGGGATGGGGTCGTTGCATTGTTGACTATTCCAACCTCTGTCCCCATCCGATATCACCTGAGCTTCTGGGTCTTGAAAAAACACGTTTATAGAACTCCGGTCTGCAAAGCAGGACATGCTTAAAAAACAGCCAGCTGTTCTGTGTATTTCAGCATGCACCGTTAATCCTTTTACATCTGATTAGCTGCCTCTCTGCAATCCTCCTCTTCGGGTCCTAATTTTAGCCAGGCTGGGGAATTAGGTCAACTTCCACTATTGGAAAGGCTCCTTAATGAATCCTCGTGCTAACTTATCATGGTGTACTTCTGGTACTCAGGATGTGCTCGGTACAGCTTTGCATCCAGCACGTTGATCGAAATTCTTCTATAGTTAAAGAATGGGGGGGGGGGGAGCTGAATCAACCCAAAAAGTTTAAAAAGGAACCTTTGAAGAATCTTAAAAATGTAACAACATAAGGATATCAAGACCAGTGGCCCCTCAAGACCAGCTCCTGTTTCACACAAGGGCCCAGCCAGTCCCTCTGGAGGGCCAACGACAGAGCACAGAGGCCAAGATCTTCCCCTGCTGCTGCTGCCTCCCAGCACTGATGTTCAGAGGTTCACTGCCTCTGGATAGGGAGGTTCTTTTTCAATCCCATGGCTAGTGGCCACTGATAGACCTCTCCTCCATGAATCTGCCTAATCTCTTTTAAAACTGTCTATGCCTGTGGTCTACACTACATCCTCTGGCAGTGAATTCCACTTCTTAATCCCTTGTTGAGTAAAGAAGCATTTCCCTTTGTCCACCCTAAATCTACTGCCCATTAACTTCATTGGATGCCTCTGAGTTCTAGTATTTTGGGAGAGGGAGAAGTTCTTTCTGTCCACTCTTTCCACCCTGTTCATAACTTTAGAAACCTCTTTCATGTCCCCCTTAATGGTCTCTTTCCTAAACTGAGAAGTCCCAGACTTTCAGTCTTTCTTCATAAGAAAGGTGCTTTAACTCTTTAATCATCTTGGTTGCCCTCTAATGCATCAGATATGAAAAGCTCCCTCTCACTGGCCGTCTTTAAGCAGTGTCTGGACAAACACTTGTCAGGGATGCTCTAGGCATTGAGGAGGGGGCTGGACTAGATGGCCTGTCTGGCCCCTTCCAACTCTGTGATTCTACGATTCTATGAAAAGGCCTAAAAGGTCTGTTGGTTTGAAACAAAGCACTGTGAACAATCTAGACAAAACAGGCATAATTTAATACGTGGGTGAAAAAGAAAACCCAAAATACCATATCATGTATGAAACAATCACAAACTACTAACAGAAGGGGAGACCCATTTTGGAACCAAAGGTTTCCTCAGCCATCTGCTGAATAGCAATAAGTTATGTAATACCAAAGTAAAACTGCCGCTAAATCTGTGCCCAATGTTTATCAACGATTTAGGGGGAATTTTCAAAATAGCTCACACATAATTTATTCACAGGACAGTCCAAAAATTAGCATGCAATAACTATAAATGCCTCGTTAAAACCATGCCCAGCTTGTGTTCCATCAGAAAGGAACATCAGTTTTCTTAAAAACCCATAATTTTGGCATTGCAAATGAGGTAAGAACTGGCAATCTGAAGTTCCTGTGTGATTTTTAAATGGCAGGTACAATATCCATAAGAACTGCTACATTCGGGTGTCATTCATTTTGTTTTAAAAAGAAGAAGATGATGATGAGTTGGATTTATACCCTGCCCTTCACTCTGAGTCTCAGAGTGGCTTCCCATTCTCTCCCTGTGAGGTAGGGTGGGACTGAGAGAGCTCTGAGAGAACTACTGTTGAGAGAACAGCTCCAAGAGAACTGTGACTGACCCAAGGTCATCCAGCTGACTGCATGTGGAAGAGTGGGGAATCAAACCTGGTTCTCCAGATTAGAGTCTGCATCTCTTAACCACTACACCAAACTGGCTCCCTTGCACCCAATCAGATCTAAAATCTACTCACTTTCTACACAACTAGCAAGTGGCCTCTCTGTTTTTCTTAATTAGATTTGATTTTTACATAAATACGTTGTACTTCCTCCATTTCATGGCCCTTTAACCTGTCTCTTCACTTGTTTTCATGTACCCGTGTAAAATGACTGCATAGCAATGACCCATTCGTCACATCTGAAGAAGTGACTGTCGTCTGATTCAGTATGAGGCAGCTTTGTGTGTGTGTGTGTTCATGAGTGTCAAGGGAAGCTTGTTTTAAAGTAGAGAATATGGAGTCCTGATCATGCTATACAATCCTGTAAAAAGACTGTTATTCTTTATCTGCAGTGAGCCTTTCGGAAAGAACATTGACCATTCCCCAATACCACCCTATTACAGCTATTGCATTATGTGAGACAGAACTAGTGTCAAGTGGCAACGATGGCTTTCCATTTCTTCACAGGTTATTGCCCAGCATCAAAACCTCCTGATTGCACAACCCAACAACACCATCAACTACACTTTGCTGAGCAACGACAACGCGTTTCTGAGCTACCATCCGTATCACTTCACCCAGAGGACGCTGACGGCACGTTTCCAGATGAACAACACCAAACCACCTCATGTCCAGATGGTGAGGAAGCCGGTGCTCACAGCGATGGGCTTGCTAGCACTGCTAGGTATGACCCACACAGGTTCTAAACATCACTGTTCCTTTCCTACAATCCCATAAATAAAAGGTTGCTCCTTGAATACAAAACAATGGCAGGTTTCTGGTAATTCCTAGAGCTACCCACTGTCAGTGTTCCCTCTAAGCTGAGTTAGTGTGAGCTGGCTCACAGTTTTTTAGCCTCCAGCTCACATATCTTTGTCTCAGCTCAGGAAGGACGGCTCCAGAGCAAACTAATTTATGCAGTGGCCCAATCACTCGCTCACAACTTTAATGCCAGGAGCTCACAAAGTAGGATTTTTGCTCACAAGACTCCACAGCTTAGAGGGAACATTGCCCAGTGCCACTGGTTTCCCCCAGAAGCAACATCGTCATGCAGATGACACTGCCCCCACCACCACGCCCCCCCCCAATCCCACTGGTTGGCTTGGCAACCCTGCTTAGAGCCAGTGCAGTTGGTGTAAGACAGGTGCTATATGCTCACTGCAGCAGGTGCCTGCCTTATTCTGGCTGCCACATTGTGTAGTAGTTGACATTTCTGGACTGTCTTCCAGGGCTGCCTCACATAAAGCACATTACAGTAGTCCAGCCATGAACCTCACAGGGTGATCTCATCCAGGACACTGCTGTCGGCCTGACATACCTCATCATATTGTCATGAGGGTCCAGGGCCACTTCAGACTTTTTTAATGCATGAGAAGAAGACCAACAAAACCATTTGTGCTCTGGGTAGCTGGCTCACCGGAAACCAGACGGGACTCAAACTCATTGACCTTGAAAGCTGTGATGGCGCTCCTGTACAAATAAACACTGCCTTGTACAGTTACACATTGATTTCATGAAAACAAGACAGTTTTTGATATGGTCTCGCTATACCCTTTGCGTAGGAGAGGAGCAAGTGTCGGTTGACATCTCCAGCGGTGAATCTGATGACCCGAACAGTATAGGAGTCCTGGCCAGCCTGCACAAACCTGCCGCCCCACAGTGGTCTGACAGCTGGCAGGCAGCCATATTGCTCTATTCCAGCAACGATAACCAGACGTCCACCAACGTCAGTGCCATGACAATAAATGTAACCAACTACCCCATCTGCAAAGGTAAGATTTCAACTATGGTTGTTGTAAGAGCTGGTCCACCTAAGGCAATTCTAGGCAAATGTACAGCTAGATCCAAGCCCAATAGCTCCTTCGAAACCATCACGATTTTAGGGGTTTAAGCTTTCAAGAGTCAGAGCTCAGGAGCAAATATGTTGTTGGTCTCTAAAGGCACTACTGGCCTTGAATCCAGTTGTTCTGCAGGCCAGACCAGACCAGCTGCCCTCTGGTCCAAAAGGCTCACTGCAGATAAAGAATAACAGTCTTTTTACAGGATTGTATAGCATGATCAGGACTCCATATTCTCTACTTTAAAACAAGCTTCCCTTGACACTCATGAACACACACACAAACGTGAGTCGCAGTGTTGCTCAAAGGATCAGAGAGCCATTGAGACACTCCTAAACGTATAAATACAACTGATCTCCAGTAGCCAGTTCAATCTGTTGAGCCACGATACCTCTTTGCTTGCTGATGCTGGCTCACCTTTCTGTGCAGGCCCAACTCGTTGGGGGCTCATGCAGCAAGACTCAAGCTGATTGGCTTGTCTCATGGTTTCTCACATCTTCTGAGAAAACTCCTTTTCTGGGAAAGCCACTGTGTTGTACTTTTCCGATGCAAGCAGTCAAGGAAACGGTGACGACAAAAACGGCTACAGGGGTAATAATACTGTTCTAGAAAGCATGCCCAGAGACAGTGAGTCATCCTCTCAAGCCACTGGAGTGTCTAGAACTCTTGAGGGTAGAGCAAACCCAGGCTAGGAATCCATGGAATGGTAAAAGCAGTGATCTTCAGCAAGAATTATCTAGCAGCAGCAAGGAGTAGGTAGTACTCCAGTTATAATCAATTGGAAACTTTTCTCCCCTCGGTTGGGATGTCGGGAGTCCTGGAGTAGAATGTCCTGTCCCTTTAACAGCAGCTTAATGTGTAGGTATCAACAGCTGCAGTTTTTCATGGAATGGAGGTAAATACCATTCCCATTAAGCCTCTGTTAAAGGTACAGGGCATTTTTTTCTCCAGACTGTTGGGTCTCCCTGCCTCTTGGTCTCCCCTCTCCTTCTGTGGCACGTTGGGCAACTGTCTGACCCCCCGTTTTCCCTATTTTTGCCCACGGAACAGACTTCCAGAAGTAGGTGAGCAGCTGCCTTTTCTTACTTGCTTTCTGATTGGAGCTTTGCACGTGTTTTATATTGCAATTGTGGTCATAATGGCCTTGTGGCCATATTTTTGTAAGACACCTTGGCCTAAATAGGAAAGGTGGGATATATAGATTTCTCAATAGATAGTTGTTTGGAAGAGCAGGGCCTACAGGAATTGGGGAAAATTTCCCAAGAGAATAATGTGAAGGTCAGTATCCAATAGCAACAAGAGCCCATGTTACCTCTTTGGTAATGGCACTGACTCTTTAAGCCCCACCCCCAAATAGCTGGGAACTAACAGAGGAGTGAGGGGCCAGGAGTGAATGAACAGAGGAGTGAGGCTGGCAGTGGATCTGCCAGTCCCAGGTGCTCATTGGAGGAGTTTCAACCCGCAGCCTGAATCACAGAGTCAAGGATTATGGTGCCTTCCTCAGGGTGGTCTGTGCTTCTTCAGAGCAAGCCTCATGCAGGTTTGGGGAGGAGGCAACATCTTCTGCTGACCCACATTTATACAGACACCCCTCCAACTAGATTCATTGTCCAAGAACTGGCACATGGCAGGAGTCTCTTGAGACTGACTCCAACAAGAATATTTGGAAATAACGGGCTGTTGCAAAATTAAAAACATGGCTTGCATCCTTTGAAATCCACGCACGGAACATAAATTTCCACTGTTCTCTCCTCCTTCAGACCATTGAAATCCCCAAATTTTGTTCACGGTGGTCATTGGACCCTCATGGACAGCTTTGGGGTTGGGGGTGGGGGTTGCAGAGTGAGGGAGGATTTGGTGTACCTCACCCTCATCTCCCCCCCCAAAAAAACCCCCCACAACAACAGAGGTGCTCTTCCATCGTCAGAAACAGATGGGAGAGCACAAACCACAAAGCCTGTGTTGGAAAGCCACAGTCTGACTTGATGCTGAATGAATGTCAGACAAGAAAGTTCACTGTTTACCTTCCCTCTGTCTCCCCAAAGACCTTGTGTATGTCACTTACTACATGGATAACAACCTGACCAATCCATATCTGCAGTGGAAGAAACTGGGAGCTCCAGCTTTTCCTTCACCAAAGCAATTCCAGAAAATCCGAGAAGCTGAGGTATAGTGCTTTGCGAAGCGACTGAACACACTAATTGATCTGACATACATTTACGCAAAAAGCAAGTCCTATTGCATTCAACTACGCTTTCTCCAAGAATATTAGCCATGCAATACAGTTCTATGTGGATGAGTTCAGAAGCAAGCCATATTAAATTCAAAGGACAAATGTGGATAAGAGGACATGGGATTTTGCTCACTGTAAGGCTGCCAAATCAGGGTCTCTGTTTCTCTTGCAGAAGTAATGTCCAGAGAAGTAACATTTCCAGAAATTTTGAAATGGAGGGAGGAATCCCCCCAAAACAGAAATGTTGAGAATAACATACAGTCCTTACTTTCCAATCAAACCCAAATCTGGTTTGCTGCTTTAAAAACATAAATGCATCATTTAGAACTTAGCATATAAAATTGTATTAATTGTTATGTTTCTGGAATTTAGAAGTATAAATGTCTTAGTTGTCAACAAGGAAAATCCTTCTGTACTCAGTACTAAATGTGAGAGAGCTGCAGACTCCGGCCCCCTCTGTAGTATATTTCATTCACTGTAAAAGAAAATATAGGAGCTGCGGTGGCTCAAGTGGTTAAGACGCTGAACTGCAGGCTGTGGAAGGTCAGTAGTTCAGCAGTTCGAGACCCGAGTTGCCGCATGACGGAGTGAGCTCCCGTCTCTAGTTCCAGCTCCTGCCAACCTAGCAGTTCGAAAGCAAGAAATTGCAAGTAGATAAATAGGTACCACTTCGGTGGGAAGGTAACAGCGTTCCGTGCGCCTTGGTGTTTAGTCATGCCGGCCACATGACCACGGAAACGTCTTCGAACAGCGCTGGCTCTTCGGCTTTGAAACAGAGATGAGCACCGCAACCCTAGAGTCGGACTCGACTGGGTTTTGAGCAAGGGAACCTTTATCTTTACTTTAAAAGGAAATATATATATTCCACAGGATATTTTTTACTGTTCCCCAAAATGTCCCAGTTTTTCTGTTGGAAAAATTGAGGGAAAAGTCCTTTGTCCTTTTCATGTCATCATTTTAATGAGTAACACCTTGTATTACACAGTATTTAACTTGTTTCAGAAGGGTGGGGGGAATCAAAGTGTGTTTTTTTATGGTTCCCCCTAGAATTCCACTGGACAAAGTGAAAATATCCTCAGACCTAAACAGTTTGAGTGAGTAAAATCTTTTCTCAACAAACAATTCACTCAGTCAAAAAATATTTCATGGGTGTTTTTCTTTTTCAGTGTTCTCCAAAAATCCCAGTTTTAAAAATCAGGAACACTGAGGAAAAAGTCCTTGTGTGGAAGAAACAGGAACACCAGTTTTCCATTTTTCCCACCTACCATCTGTAGTGATATCCCCTCAAAACGCTGTTTCTCCTTTAACATACCTTTCATTCATCCTGCAACAAACAGTGGAAGGCCACTTTCTCTCACACATTTCTCCACACCTCTCTAGGCAGTGTTGTATTACCCCTACCTACGGCTGCCAACTCTCATTGCTGGCTGGAGATCACCCAGAGTTACAAGCAGGGCTTTTTTTGTAGAAAAAGCCCAGCAGGAACTCATTAGCATAATAGGCCACACTCAACAGCAGGAACTCATTAACATATTAGGCCACACCCATGACAGTGCAGCTCATTAGCATATTAGGCCACAGCCCCATGTGTTCCCTTGAAGGGAAGGCAGTTTAAATTTCCTTCCCTTGGCTTGCCTGGGTGCCCCGTGGCGGCGGGGAGCCCGGGCAAGACAGCCCTTGGACAAATCCTTCCAGGGGCCCCCCTGGCCCACTCGCCTTGGAGTCGCCGGGGGGGGGGGCGTCGCTTTCCAGGCCTTCCCTATGTAGCCACACACAGAGAGATTTGGGCTGTAGCCCAAAAGTAGCCCTGGTTACAAGTGACCTCCAGGCGACAGAGATCAGTTCATCTGGAGAAAATGGCCGCTTTGGAAGGTGCTCTGTGGCATTATTCTCCACTGAAGTCCCTCCTCTCCCCAACCCCCCCCCTCTGGCTCCACCCTCCCCAAATCTCCAGGTATTCCCAGCTAGGGTTGCCAGGTCTGGGTTGGAAAATACCTGGATACTTTGGGGGTGGAGCCAGGAGAGGGCGGGGTTTGGGGAGGGGCCTCAGCATAGTACAATGCCATACAGTCCACCTTTCAAAGCAGCCATTTTCTCCAGGGGAGCTGAACTCTGTCAGCTGGAGAACAGTTGTAAAAGCGGGAGATCCCCAGGCCCCACCTGGAGGCTGGCAACCCTATTCCCAGCCCAGAGTTGGCAACCCTTCCCCAACCTAAAAAAAATTAGTTGCCATCCTTGCTGGACACAAGGTTCAGCATTCTGCACCCAAAAGCCACTTGGCCATCCTTCTGTTTGCCTCCAGTGCCCCATAATCAGAGGTATACTGCTCCTGTCAACAGAAGTTGCATTTAGCTGCCGAGGAATCCTTAATTTGCCTCTCCTTTCTCAAGCCACCTCAGCTCGTGGCCACCGGGATGTCTCATGGTTGGGGAAGTGGGTGAAACCTCCCCCCACAATCCTAAAAATTGGCTATGCGAGACCAGACTTTGCACTTAAAACAAATAATCTTGTGAGGCTACATTGTGAGATCTCAGCAGCCATTTGGGGTTTGCTGGGCAACCGTGAACAACATTAGAGTCTTCCATTGACTTGAACAATCTCAGCCGACAAGGTGGGGTGAGAGACCGGAAAAGGTGCAAGAGAGGAGAGAAGTGGGAAGGGATGGGAGGCAGGAAAGCAGAGAGGAGGGAGTGAAGCTGAAAACCTAGGTGGGTGGGAGATCAGGCTTCCCTGTTTGTACCTTTACAAACGTCTGTCCTGACTTTACCTTCTCTGTGTGTTAAGTGCCGTCAGGTCGCTTCTAGCAGCCTTCCGCTTTCTAGCCTTGTTGCCTTTCTCAGTGACTCTTGTCTTCTCGTAATGTGACCAAAGTATGATAGCCTCCGTTCAGTCTTCCCCTTAGTCATCTTATTTTCCTAAACTAAAAAGCCTCAGGTGGCCAAATGGTTTTGGTTGTCCTTGCAAGAAAGTGCTTGATTATTTTGTCCTCTCTCTATCCTGTTCCCCCAAAGGGAATAAAAGTAATTTGAACCCTCGAGGAAGCCAACATTCACGTGCTCTCTACCTCCAGCCCCTCCTCAGATGCTCACAAGCACTCCAGCTGCTGCCAACCTACTCTTATTCAATCTCTGATTGGTACATTAATGGGGGGGGGGATAGCTACAGTGGTTTTGGTCCACTGAATTATGGCAGGAATACACACAACCCTTTCGCAGGCAAAACACTATAATTTTTTATTCTTCTTCAGCTAAATCAGAATTAGTCACACCCAGGACTACACTGCAGTGCAGACTTATATCAATGCTCCCTTTCTTCAGGGAACCCTGCGAACTGCAGTTCTGCAAGTGGGGGGGGGGAGGACAAAGAATATTCACAGATAATTGACAGCGCCACCACCAAAGGTGAATTCCCAGGTTCCGGGGGGGCGGGGAGGGGGGGGAATATAACCATGACATCTGAAGTGGTGTAAGAGTGATCGGAGCTTCTAGTACAACTAAGGCCAGAAATAAGAAACCAGGACCTAAAATAAGAGAGACGGCTCCCTTTTCTCCTTTCCACTTACCCACCCTTCATGCTGCCAGGACGCAGTTCCGTACGAGCGCCTACCAAATGGGAGCTGGCCAAACACGCCACATCCCTTTTTATGAGATCCAGATGTTTGCTCCCTGTGGGGCTGACCTTTTCTGTCCACACTGAGAGTGGGGCATAAATATTTGCAGTAAGATTCTCCCAACAAAAACGAGACCGCTTTGTGTTCTCCTTTTCTTCTTTCCTCCGTCTTCCTTTATAAGCACGTGCTGGAACAGTAGGGACTCTGCACCCCACTGGTCACTTTGAAAGCTGACCCCTGCTTAGAATCATTTGGATTCAGGGAGGATTCGTAGTTGTCTTGGCAAACCAATGCTCCTAAAGCTGCATTTGCTGAAAATGCAAATGTAAGAGGGGGACACTTGTGGAAAGAATTAGCAGGCAGGTGGGGGGCGCTTCCTGGAGAAACTGATTTAACCTCTCTTGTACTTGCCCGGTTCTCTCTCATCCTTTCCCTTGGTCATTTACCCCTTCAGTTTCAGAGCCCAGCAATGTGCGATCCTAAGAACACTTTCCCGGGAGTAAAAGAGGATTCTAAATGGCTCAATTAGGACTGCTTTTGGCAGTTCGGGAAGATGAGCATCCAGGGGGGATGGAAGAATAGCTGTCTAACGAATAGACAGTAATATGAACCTCAAAAGGTGCTAGGGGAAAAGTTACTTATTTGTAGAAGCCCTCTAAATTATTATTATGCCCAAAATGTTTTCAAAAGTTTCTCTGCTAGTGATATTCACTAATCTTAATTATATTCATTAGTGGAGGACTAATTCTGCTACTGCTTCATCAAAAAGATGCATAACTTACCCGATTACTCTGGAAAAAAAATGTGGGATGTATCTTCTTATTCTTGTAAGTAAAGCAAAGACAATTTCCCATAATAACCTACAAATATTGCTATTACGGAAGAAGAATTTCAGGCAAACAAAAGACATGCCTATTCCTTAAGGATCTTTTTAAAAGTTTCACAAAGAGATCGTACTTACTAGTCACTGCTTGCCTCTTGCCTGTAGAAGTTTCTTTTCTTGTTGAAGGAACACTTACAAAAAAAAAGACTATGCAGGAAACATTCATAGAACTTCCGACAGGAGTTGACCCAAAAGATCGCACTGGATATGAACCCACTAAAACCTGTTAGATGCTGTTTCCCATGCAAAAACCTAACCTGGCAATGCTTCCCAAAACAATGTCTGGTTCTCAAACAAAGCTTCTTCTCAGGATCAGTATTTATACCAACTACCCAAGGCACTAAATGCCTGCCTTTGGAACGTACTTTCTGCCATATAAAGACAGATTGCATCTCTGCAGTAGAGTGGTCATTCAAACCCATACACAAAAACAGCGGAACTTCAATTAACACCTTTTTTTAAAAAATCCTCATGGAGATGCTTTATGTCCTTAATGTCTGACCAGTGGATAGATGGCATACAAAGTTAGCTAACCCCACACACCTACACTTTATTCGCACAACAACTCTGTGAGATAGGCTAGGCTACACACACATCAGATAATATTGATTCTGAGAACTATTTCTAGGTTAGGTTTTTTTGTGGTTATCATCTGTTAGGTTTCCGGGGATCAGACTCAAAAATGCATGTGCAAACCCCCCAAAGGAAAAGCAATAGGCATATAAGGGTGGGGGGGAAAGGTACCAGGACTCTTTTTGTAGCAGGAACTCCTTTGCATATTAGGCAACACACCCCTAATGTAGCCAATCCTACATCCCTAATGTAACCAATCCTCCAAAAGCTTACAGAGCTCTCCTTACAGGGGCTACTGTAAGCTCGGAGGATTGGTGCGTTGCCTAATATGCAAAGGAGTTCCTGCTACAAAAAGAGCCCTGGCGTATGTCATATAGCTTTTGTGGATCTTTTCAAACTCTTATTTCTTACTCTTATAGATGACTGAAAGCTTTTTTGTCCCTTTAAGAAAGGGAAATAATACTGGATGGTTACACATTGTATGTTTTTAGACTAATGAAACAGAGATGATGCATCTTCTCGATTCTACAATAACTGAAACAGAATAGGTCAATTTGGTAAGCAGTAGACCTTCAGCCCTCCCCCAAACATACTGGGTGGGGAAAATGGCACAGGGAGGAGGCCCTTGAGCTCTCCACGCCATGGTCCTGACCTGAATTGGGCCTCTATTGGGGAACACGGCTCCCTGCAGCTGCTCTCTGACCGAGGGGAATGCAAGTTGGGTTAGGAGAGCTAAGGCCAAAATTGTTAAAAAAAAAAAAAAGTAATGTCTAGTTTGGCCCCTTTGGAATTACACAACTTAAAGGTTGCTGATGAAGACATTGGAATTGTTAATTATTTTCTATTCCTTGGCTCCATCGTCAACCAAAAGGGAGGCTGCAACCAAGAGTTCAGGTGGAGATTGAGACTGGGGAGGGCAGCCGCAAAGGAGCTAGAGCAGATTCTCAAGTGTAAGGATGTATCACTGGCGACCAAGATCAAGATAATTCATACCATAGTATTGCCCAGTTACTATGTGTGGGTGTAAAAGCTGGACAGTGAAGAAAAGCTGACAGAAAGAATGTTAATTCAGTTGAAATGTGGTGTCGGAGGAGGGTTTTACGCATACCGTGTACTGCCAGAAAGACAAACGAGTGGGTTCTAGATCACATCCAGACTGACCTCTCCCTAGAAGCTAAAATGACTAAACTGAGGCTACTGTACTTTGCCCACAGTATGAGAAGACAAGAGTCACCGGAAAAGACAATCATGCTAGGAAAAGTTGAGGGCTGCAGGAAAAAAAGAGGAAAACCCAACATGAGATGGACTGATTTCAGTCAAGGAAACTACAGCCCTCAGTTTGCATAGGGTTGCCAGGTTCCACCTGCGATCTGCCAAGGGGCTCCCTTGTCCAGGCCAAGATCTTCCGCCATTCACGCATAGAGTCTGCCCAAAAGCTAGAGCGTCAATCCCCAACGCTGGCAACGTGATGATGTCCCTTCTGGAGGACATCCTTGCATTGGGGATGTCACCCAGCAGCGTCCGTCGGTGGGGCTTTCCCCACCGGGCAGCTGGCCAGCAGCGAATCTAAGCCCAAAAAATTGGGGGAACCTCTGCCCAGACCAGGGGTCTGGCAACCCTAAGTTTGCAAGGCCTGAGCAAGACTGCTAACGATAAGATGTTTTGGAGGTCATTAATGCATCGGTTCACCATAAGTCAAAACCGACTTGACGGCACTTAACACACTCACCGTTTGGCCCCTATTTGATATTGCATGGCACGATAGGCTTCTGAGAAGGTGATTCCCACCACCACCCCGGTCAGAACTTTTCATTCATTTTTTAAAAAATTATTTCAAAGGACCCTGTGGTGAAAGGACCATTTCCCCTTCCCGAAGGAGGCAGTTTGGTACTGAAACAAGAGCTCCCTGTTCCAGCTCTCTTCCTCATCCATATTTGTGCAAGACCTCATGCTGGTCCTGACCAGGTGAGTTGCCACATCCTGTCACCTGCTTTGGTACAGTTAAATGAGCTTTAATCAGAATCAGAACTCATCTGTTTTCTGTTCCTGGGATCCACTTAGGACCCCCGGGGTTAGAGAGGCTTGAAGGTCCTTGGAATCCGTTTTGCTTCTAGCAGTTTCAGCGTTGCTCCTGTTCCCATTAGTATGATTGCCAGCTGAGCGCTGGCCACTGGTGGGAGATGCTGGGGGTGGGTGGGGAGGGGACAGCACTGTGCTGGAGTTCCAGGTCAATCCTGTATATAGTACATACATACATACATACATACATATTTGATTTATATACCGCCCATGACCCCCACTGGGTCTCAGAGCGGTTTACACTGAACTACTTTTTCTGTAGTTTTTATTACCTGACTAGGGCCACAATTTCTCAGGGGGTGGGGTTGCCTAGCAGTACCCATGCGGCGTCTCTCCTCTGGTGGTTTCTGGCGTCGCTCCTGGTGTCTCGGGCAGGCTGGCGACCATCCCAGGCAGGCTCTGATGTTCCTCTTCCGGCGCGCTCTGCTTCAGACTGCAGCTTCCGACTGTGTGTCCCATTGGGCTCCTGCCGTGCTGCGTCGTCTCGCAGTTGCGTCACCTCGCCTCCACCTCCACTGCTCTGGTCGTCGCCTCCTCGGATCGCCAGATGCCGCCTTTCAGCCCCGCCTACTTCACAGGGTGTCTGTTGTGGGGAGGGGAAGAGAAAGGGATTGTAAGCCACTCTGAGACTCCTTTGGGTAGTGAAGTGTGGGGTATGAATCCAATCTCCTCCTCCTCCTCCTCCTTCTCCCGCTCCCACCAATGTGCCTATGCCTGCAGCCAATATAGCAGCCCATCACAAATGCTGTGGAGCCAAATGTCTATGCTCCATTCTGAAAGATGTATCCCGTCTGCCCTAAAGAGGGCCAATTGCCTGTGTTGGCACTTTGCGATAAATAAGTGGGTTTTGGGTCGCAGTTTGGGCACGCGGTCTCTAAAAGGTTCGCCATCACTGCTTTAAGCTGTGGAGTCTCGTGAGCAAAAATTCTACTTTGTGAGCTACAGGCATTAAAGCTGTGAGCCAGTGATTTGGCTACTGCATCAATTAGTCTGCTCTGGAGCCATCCTTCCTGAGCTAAGACAAAGATGTGTGAGCCGGAGGCTAAAAAACTGTGAGCTAGCTCACACTAACTCAGCTTAGAGGGAACACTGCTGGCCACCCTATCCGTGAGACAGTCTCGCCGTTAGCACCAATTCTAGCTTGCTGTGCAGTACCATGATCTTCTGACCAGCTGTTCACTAGATGCCTGTTCCCCCCCACATTCCCAAATATCATTCATTCATTCCAAGGACACGCACCAGCTAACCAGCCAGATTCACTTCCACTGAGGCAGGGAACATCTCCCGGTTTTACACCTTCAGACTACAGACAGGGGCCGGCATGGTGGAATACTCTCTTTAGCACACAAAACAAAGCGTTCTTCCCATTAGCATGCTAAGGGGGAGGGTTACGCTAGAAAGCTTATTCCCGACATGTTAGTTTTCTGTATACAGAGGTCCATTCTGTCGTGGGTATACGGTGCCTACAGTCTGAAGTGGTCCTGAAATTTGCCTTCCACTGCAAAACGTTGATCCCTCCCCTCTTTCTTGGCACAGTTAGTGCCAGGTTGAGCTGGGCCTTGGGCCTTTTAAAATGGCTGGGGTGTGGTGTCACTCGTTGGGGTGTGGGGTGCAGGGGTGCATGCGATGCAAAGACGACAGGACACAAGTCTGCAGGAAGCTGTCTCAATGAATGAATTCTCCTCTCACTCACCAGCTGTATTTATTGAAAATCCCTCCTTTCTTTTATACATTACATCATCCTATTCATGAGACATGAACTAAGGAATGTGTGTGTGCAGGCAAGTTCTCTGTTATCAGTTCCTCCCTCTCTCTCTCATGGCCACACCGGTGAGCAGTAAACAGATTCCATCTCAGGCTCTCATTACGTATAAGTATTTCAGTTCCCAATTTCCAGGCAGGAGAATCCATCTGCACTGCTTTCCTACACTGGGGTAGCTGTGTAGGCACAGCACTGTGTATACCAGCATCTTCCCTCTCTGATTGGCCAAGCAAAGGAACAAATGGTGCTCTTCATAGTTCCTGAGAGTTGCCTCTTTTTAAAATGACAGTTGCCTCCTCCTCTCTCTTAGCTCCACAGAGGTGGGGGGATGACTAAATGACTAAAGAGGAAGCACATGGATGTCCTGTGCAGTCTTTTGTACATGAGCATGTGAGATGGAGCCCTGGGTCTCTTTACTGCGCACATGTGAGCGATATAGTTCCAAGCACCCATGCGAGAGAAAAGGATAATGCTGACCTTCCCTCAACACATTCTGGTAAACAAATGCTAGCTTTTAGACCAAAAAAAAATGTTTCCAAAGGTCCAAAGCTTGGCTGAGCTGTATTGTTTCAGCTGGCTGAACACCCTACAATAATTGGCGTTCTTTGTTGTTTTGGTCCTCCTCATCCTGTGTGTGTTTTAAAGGACTCACTCAAATACGTAAAATAAGCTGAGCTAGACTTGAGTTTCTGCTTTCCACACTTTGCAATACTTACCCGGAATTTCTCTGTGTCTTGCCAGGTGAGTGGTGTTCGCCTCATCAGTCTCGCGAGGAGACAAGTTCTGGTCCTGTGGGATGACGGCTGTGTGAATTCAAAGTAGGTAGCTCTCCATGAAGAAGCAGAATTGTTTGTTTTTAAATGTATTCCTTTGACATTGTAAAAGGATACAGCTGACATCCTGGGAACAGTTATCCTCCAGAAAGCCTACCTAACCTGCACAAAGAGCAAAGGCTGGGTTTAAAAAACAACAACAACCCTTCTCTTGGAAGTTAATGCCATAACAGCCAACTTTGCAAATAAGGCAACATAAAAGACCCGTAACATGTTTTACTGGCCATGGATTTCTGTATTGGTCACACTGATAGCCTGAAAGGCAAAAACTCAACATCACATTACAATGGTGTTTTCCTGTTGCTGTATATGTTGTTTCCCTGTTGCTGCTGCAGTTGCCAATACAGCCCAGCGGCAATGGAGCTTCAACACAGCAGGTTTCCCCACAGCTTCCCTCCTTCAGGTCTCCAGCAGTTGTCATCCCCCCTGGCACCACCAGGGCCTTTTCATTTTAAAAAATCAGCAATTAGATATTGTTACAGCAATACAGAGTTATAATATGTGTAACAGGTGCTCTGAATTCCCAGCTTGCGCTTTTAGAAAAAGTAAGTCCTTTTCATTGCAGAGGTATGCCTTTCCCCTTATATCACCACAACAAAAAGATGATAGAAACTTTTTAAAAATAAAGTCTGGGAATTCAGAGAACCTGCTACACATATTGTTCTAACATTATATCACTATAACAATATTCAATTTCCAGTTAAAAGAAAACCAAAAAAAACCCACCTGGTATGTGTGTGTGTGTGGGGGGGAAGCTTACACACATTGTTCTAACATTATATCACTATAACAATATTCAATTTCCAGTTAAAAGAAAACCAAAAAAAACCTACCTGGTGTGTGTGTGGGGGGAGATGGCAGTTGTGGCAAAATGGCTGCTGAGAGGGCTGGACTGGGAAAATCCAAACAAAGCCACCTGGTCTTTGCTGCAAGGTTTTCCAAAATTTCAGAGCAAAGCAAGTTTGGGAAAGGTCAAGGAAAACCCAGGGTAACTCACAGCAGTGTATGATAATAATAATAATTATCATATGACATTGTGTGTAGTAGAGCCAGGAGATCCTAAAATTGTCTGGCAGCGAAAAGTTCTAGCCCTTTTAGCGCTATGCACCACTAGGTGGCGAGCTAGACTTGTTTTAGTGGCTGAAAGTTCTGAGGGAACTGTGAGTGACCCAGGGTCACCCAGCCAGCTTCACGTGGAGGAGTGGGGAATCAAACCCAGTCCACTGCTCTTAACCACTATACCAAGCTGGCTCTCAAAGGTACATGAATGCACCACGATGCTGTGAAGAAACAGAAAAAACAACATGGTCACAACAGCATTGAATCGGGGGGGAACGGGGAAACCCTGTGTGGAAGCGGCCACTGGCTCTTGGTTATAAGTACTCACAGCAGCCTGACAGTGTCCACCCAGGAAGCCCAACTGGCAGCCAGTACATTTGTACCGGCGCCACAGTCTTGGTAATCCAGAATGAATTAGCATTTGTCACTGTCACCGTTAAGTGCCTTGAGGCAGGTGCTCCCCTGATTTTGGAGAGACTGCTAGTCTTATTACAAGACAGGGACTCTGCTCTTACTGGTACGTATTAACCTGGATGGAAGCGTTGTCGAGTGTCGTCAGAGGAAATAAGAGCCTTTACGACGCTTCATTGCAAAAGTGTCCCAAACCATGAGCATAGTGTCACTGATGTCGTAAAAAGGCAGTCAGGCCTTTAAAGCAGGGGCCAGAAGCTGGAGGACGCCCCCCCCCCCAGTCTAAAATGGCTCCATAGGAATGGCACCCGCCTAATCTGGAAGTACAAGGAGGATGTGGGTGGAGCAGAATCAGTGGTCGCAGGACTAGTCGTCTGGGGAACAGGGCCAAGTACATCCAAAATCATCCTCCTCACAACCATCCTTCTCAGTGTCATCCCTCCTGAAGACTATTTGCTGATCAGGGGCTTTAAGAGGCTAGGTGAGAAGGCAGGAGTTTGCCGTTGCATGCCAGCCAGTGTCCACGCGCAAACTATCCTTACCGTCTTAGAATGGGGTATTGCATGGATGCACTGACCCGAGTGGCCCAGGCTACCCTGATCTCGTCAGATCTCAGAAGCTAAGCAGGGTCGACCCTGGTTAGTAACTGGATGGGAGACCACCCGGGAAGTCCAGGGTTGCTGTGCAGAGGCAGGCAATGGCAAACCGCCTCTGAATGTCTCGTGCCTTGAAACACCCTGTGGGTTTTCCGTAAGTAGGCTGCAATTTGAAGGCACTTTCCACCACACTGAATGGACATCGGAACTGGGATGAAATGGAGACACTTCTGACCAATGGCTGCAAGTCTGTTGGGCTTTGTTTAGCTCAGATATAACTGGGGTTGGAATGGCTGTTTTCTATCCCCCCCCCCCTCAAAAGAAAACACCCTTTCCTTTGCTGGTAAACAGTAAAGAGAACAGGTGAGCTTGCAAGCCCTTCTGCACGTGTTTTTTTGTCTTCTTCCCATAGGTGTCTGAAAACATTCGAAGTCGTCTTCTCACAGGATGGGAAAGCTTACCACCCGATCAGTGTAAAAGACAGTATATTTACAGTGCTGGTCTACAGCCCAGGTAAAGTCCGCCATCTGCTTTTCGGCGTCAACTGGGACAGCACAATTTAAGGCCGCTCCTATTAGCTGACAGCCTTCCCACTTTCAACCCGTTCAGTAATTCCTTCAGACACCTTTCACAGTGTCGGTTTTCTTCTAGAAGAAAAGCGTGAGCTTGAAAGGAATTGAAATGTTTTTGTTACTAAGGGCCTAGCTACAGACCACAAAGACCACAGGTTCCCTCTGTGTCCACCCCAGTCCTGTGGAGCAGACGTGTTGTGGGCGTTGGCTCACTTAATTTCCAGATGCAGGCAGGCCAGAGTTGGATTGGGACTGTGAGGAGAGGGCCTTAAGCCTTTGTAACCTCAGATGGCCCCGGGGCAAGGCTACCACTTAACTGATGGGAGCAACATGCGGGGACCAGTGTTCCCTCTGAGTTAGTGTGAGCTAGCTCACAGTTTTTTAGCCTCCGGCTCACACATTTTTGTCTTAGCCCAGGAAGGAGGGCTCCAGAGCAAACTAATTGATGCAGCAGCCAAATCGCTCGCTCACAACTTAAATGCCAGTCGCTCACACAGTAGAATTTTTGCTCACAAGACTCCACAGCTTAGAGGGAGCATTGGAGGGGACAGTAGGAGGACAGCTACAGCAGGGGAGGAGAATCCCCTTTCTCTTTCTCACAGGATCCAGAGCCCATTCCCTCTTCGAAACTCTTGTGCCAAACCCTCAGATGGCATTTGAAACTGGGAGGGAGTTTTTTTTTTAAGGGAAGTGTGTGTGCACACGAAAACTCATACCTTGAATAAAACTTTGTTGGTCTTAAAGGTGCCACCGGACTCTAACTTTGTTTTTGAAAAGCAGTTAGAGGTTTCTGTAGGGGCCTCTTTTAAAAAGCGGTCCCAAAGCCTGGGGGATCAAAATGGCTTCCTAAGGTCACTTTGGAAGCTCGTGCAGGGTAGATTTCCATGCAACATTTTTGCACTTCCAGGATTACTCGGTGAAACAACTTCTTGGGAAGTGCAGTGGTGGATCTAGGGAGTGAGATTCTAGATTCCTCTCTGCCTCTTGTTGACAGATTCAACTGCCGAAAAGCTGCACTGCTAATCTAACAGATTTATCAAATAGAGTTGGAAAGTTGGATCCGTCAATAGCAGTAGATCAGAATGAAGAATCCCAGTTCTTGAATCCTTAAGGGACCAGCCATGGGTCCTGCGATGCCTGGGAGGAAAGCAGGTATATAAATACTTCAGATTACTAAATCATGGAGTGTAGTTAGTGCCCCGCCCTACCCTGGATGGCCCAGGCTAGTCCCATCCCGACAGATCTGAGAAGCTAAGCAGGGTCGGCCCTGGTTAAGTACTTGGATGGGAGACCTCCAAGGAAGCCCAGAGTCGCTACACAGAGGCAGGCGATGACAAAATCCCCTCTATTGGTCTCTTACCTTGAAAACCCCGTGAGCTTGCCACGAGGTGGCTGCAACCTGACGGCACTTTCCACCACCACCTTCCCCCCTTTCTTGCTTGAAGATACAGAGTTCCAGGACCGGAAGGTGCAACATCATCATTGACACCGGAGGTTGTAAGTCAGGGGTCTGCAGAGTGGTGCCCGTGGGTGCCACGGGGCTCACTGACACCTTTTCTGGTGCCCACCAAGGATTTTTAGGAAGCAGGCGGGGCCTGGTAGGGCTTCTGCCCAGCAAGGCTTCTGATTGATTATTGGAGATTTGATTGGCTGTGCGGATTTTTTTTTAAAATGTTGCTTTGGCGGCAGCTAGCAGAAGCAAAAATCCCCACTGAGGTGAAGCTGTGGCAGCCATTTTGTGACGGGCTCTGCCACCTGCAGCAGCCATTTTGCGGCAGCCATTTTGTCACTGCACCCACCATGCCCTGTCAGAATTCTGAATGTGCCCGCAGGCTCAAAAAGATTGGGGGGGGGCATTGTAAATTACCCCCTAAAGATCAGCAGGCGGCAAAAGAGCCTGAATTTTTAAAAAAATCCAATTTTTATAATCTTCAAGGTATATAACAACCTTTCCCATAGGACCCTGAACCTTTTCAGCACATTATATTCACATACACACAATCAAGAATATATACAAAGTATAAATTCAATAAGGACCATAAAGTAAATTGTTCAAAAATAAAATCACCAGGCACAGGGTCAATATGCACATAAGGCCTTTAAAGTGCTATCACTAGCCCAGTGATTATAAAGTAGACTTGTGGTCCAAAAATTTCCTTCTTTGATTGTGTTGCCACAGTATTCACAAGTAAAAAGCAGTGCCACCGCGAGAGAAGCAGCCACACTGAAGTGAAGCTGTGGCAGCCATTTTGTGACTGGCTCTGCCTCCTGCAGCAGCCATTTTGTGGCAGCCATTTTGTCGCTGCACCCACCATGCCCTGTCAGAATTCTGAATGTGCCTGCAGGCTCAAAAGGATTGGGGGGACCCATTGTAAATTACCCCCTAAAGATCAACAGGCGGCAGAAGAGCCTGAATTTTTAAAAAATCCAATTTTTATAATCTCCAAGATGTATAACAACATTTCCCATAGGACCCTGAACCTTTTCAGCACATGCACGACTTTTAACCGCATGGCTTTGGCTTTGTTCACAGGAACAAGAGTGACGGGATTTTACAAAGTGCGTGCCATCGACTACTGGGACCGAAGAGGCCCATTTTCTCTGCCAGTGTACTACCGTGAAGAGTCTTAAAAGGAAAACACGCATGTCCTATACAGAGTCTTAAGTCTGCTAACCGACAGCTCGTTCAAAAGGCAAGCGACAACTCTTGCTGCAGTTTCTCTCGTTCCTCTTGAACATCCCCACCTCTTTGTTCTTAAGCCTCCTGTCTTGACAGATGAAGATTCTTGCTTCGGACGACTCCAGCCCCCCTTATCAGGAGGGTTCCCAGTACCAGCCCTGTCATTAAGTGTGGTGGGTGCCTCGTGTATCAGCTTTTGGATGCCATTTGAGTGGCAAAGCAGTTACTTATTATCAGGAGTGGACTGGGAGGTGAAAAACTGGCCCCGGAACAAGCCTAGCTGAGCAGCCCCTGTGGGGCGATAAGGCAGGAGTTCAGGGGCCACTGGACTCAGCGGTACCATTGGCTCGCCTTGTGCATCCTCTTACAAAACGGCAGAAGTGCCAGAGGAGACAGTTGTTGAGCTAACGCTGATTACCAATGGAGGATGTGAGCCAAGTGGCCTCCCCACAAGGCGCTGGCAGGTTGCTGGTGCCCTCGGACAGTAGCCCACTGGGAAATTTCCCGGTAAGGTAAACAGCCAGTCTGCCCCCCTTGTTGTATTTCTGTTCAGCATGCATGCGCATGGTAGTGGTTAAGAGCAGTGACTGTAATCTGAAGAACCGGGTTTGATTCCCTACTCCTACACATGAAGCCAGCCGGGTGACCTTGGGCCGGTCACAGCTCTCCCCGGAACTCTCTCAGCCCCACCTGCCTCACAAGGTGCCTGTTGTGGGGAGAGGAAGGGAAAGGAGTTTGTAAG